CCAGTGAATTCTTAGAGTAAGCCTGTAGAATTTTAATATGATAAAGGTTTTCACATTGAGTAATACTGGTTTCTAGTACTTGGTAAGTTGAAGTAGCTCCAGGAAGATTCTCTTCCTCTCCCAGCAAGCATTTGGTATGCTTCTTGTCCTTCTGTTACATGTTTTTCTCAGCTCACTATTACAGAGGTGACCCCGATAGCTAACAAGTTCTGAGCCCTAGAGGTGCTGAGTGTAGCAAGACTGAGAGTCTACCCACAGATCAGTTATAAGGAAACATGCTGTTCCAGTGCTGCTTAGGAAAATACAGCCACACGTAGTAGTACAGTGACAATTCATGTTTTTCTCTCTTTTACACAAATAGATAGCAGCTGAAAGTGGGCAGCAAGCACATCAGTCATTGCAGAAAAGGCAGCTGGAGTGTGACAGGGTGCGGGGGCCCAGAGGAGGGGACATCTGAGCAGTGTGGTCCAGGCAGCATGATGCTTGGGGGGAAAATGATGGGGGACTGCTGGTGACATGGGGGGCCCAGTGAAAAGTATTATGAACTCTTGGTGATTCCTTGGTGCCATGGTGAGCCTGCAGCCTTTAGCAGTCTAGCACGAGAAGGGCAGAGAAGCAGGATGCTTGGGTTATCCATGGCTGGTGTCAGGGTGGGTCTCTGGAGCAAACTATGAGGAGCAGGGAGTCAGTCACTGGCCAAGAAGGAGGTGGGGGACATAAAATGAAGTCTCTAGACTAAGGGTTTGAATGCAGGCCAATTTCTGTAGTTATTTGACATTTTTTGGGCTGAGGCAGTAGAGTGATTATCTTCAAAGAGGTAGATGGAACCTCAGAATTTGTATGCACTATAGTGACATTGCCAGAATCCATAATTCCAACATCAAGGTAGACAGTACTTTTATATCGAAGGAAGGAAAGAGTTGTTTTTTTAAAATCCCCAAATGTAGTCATTTGGTAAGAGTTCTATTATATGGGTCAAAACTCCCAACTAGTTCCTTCTATTCTGACTGAAGGAACATGTGAAGTCTTCAGCTTGTTTCTCAAGTATTGAAATCTCGCATGCTGTTGACTGAATAAAGATGTTAGAATACTGAGATAGTGATGTGACCAGGAGTTCGTGGTGACTTGCTGCCTGCTGTGTGCACCAGCTTCCTGGCTGTGTGTTGATGAAGTTGGGGGCCTGCAGTGGATGGTGTGATAGAAGGCCTAATCCTCAGACCAGAGCTTTTGGGTTCTGCCAGCATGCCTCCTCTGGTCCTTGCTTCAGAGTAGATACCTGCAAGCTGACTGGCTCGTGTTGGATTCACAAAGTGGTTACTTAAACTTTGTGAGAATCACTGTAGTCATCTGTGACTGTTGGGTTGGGAATGTGTGGTTCTTGGTTTGGATCGACTTCTCTGGCTCCCTCAGTGTAAACCGGAAAGCCAAGAAAGTTGGCCCTTTATTTCAATAACCTCTTGGTGAGCACCCCAAGCCCCAGACCCTGGGACTTGTACCTCATCTCAGGACTCCCTTTTCCATGGCCATGGCTGTCCCCAGGGTTCCTTCTCCGTGGCCCAGTCCAGCTACCATCTTGTACCTGGTGTGTGATAACTAAACCATGCCTTGAAACACTCATGACTTATCTTTTACCTTGCTCCATGATTCAAAGCACATTGAATGCTTCCTGGGTTCTTAGTTGTTAGACACTGCAGTCCTGGATAGTCTGTTTCGGACAGTCCTTGATAAGTGGTGGTCCTCCTGCTGACTGCACAGCCCTGCAGTCATGGGGGATGTTTGAGTTGGACTGATAAATCGCCCTATGCTGATAGAAATCCATCCCAGCAAGACTCACATCGCGTGGTCCTGTTCAGTGGTTCAGTGCAGAGAAAACTAACCCACTTGTAAATGACCAGGACTCATTGGACAAAAATAGTCATTTATCATGAAACTTTAAAAACTGGAGAAATAGGCTGTGACAGGAAGATCATCAGGAGTTCAAGGCCAGCCTGGGCTATTTAGTGAGGGGACCCCGCCCCGCCCCGCCCCGCCACACATACACAAAAAGGTTGAAAATAGTTTTTCGTATGATTGCAGATACTGGTACTGATTTTCCTGTTTTCAGCTAAAACAATAAAATTTGTGTATTTTGCTTAAATCTTTTAGATTCTAAATTTGAACAACTTATTTTATAAATACAGATTCAGTAGTGTGTTCATGAACTTAATTTGTCTCATGATTTTAGAAAAGATGGGCACATTTATGTTTGTGTGGAAAAAATGGCCGTGGTCATGTTCGTTACTTGATTTAGACTTTGCAAAGAAAAGCAAAATATTGCCAGGCACTTTTGTTTGTGAACCAAATTGCAAACAAAAATGTTCATGAACCAAGGTACCACACTGTTAGCTGGTTTCAAGGATGGGGTATTGTGCCTTTTAGCTACTTGGTAGTATAGTTTCGCTGTATGGTTTTATGCTTGTAGTGTTGTTTTAATGAATCTTACTGATTTCTTTTCTGCTTACCTGTTTGAAGGCTCTCCCTTGAGTCCCCTCCAGAAAGAAGTCTAATTAAGTGTGCCTCTACACAGTTTTAAGAAAATGGGCTGCTTAATCAGGGAAGGGTTTTTACCAGGGGCAAAATTACTAATTGGCTTCAATGCGGTGAACTTCTCCACAGCTGAGAGGCCAGACTGGATCACTGTAAAAAACATTTAAGGACTGAGGATTTAGCTCAGCAGTGTAAGTGCCTGCCTGCCAAGCATGAGGTTGAGAGTTCAATCCCCAGTACCCAAAAAAACAGAACAAAAACAACACCCCAAAAACTATTTAAACATACTTTTGAAATAACATGGAAACTTCAGGGTCGGGGGTTAGCTCAGCAGTATAATTGTCTGCCTGGCAAGTACAAGGTTATGAGTTTGATCCCTGGTGCCAAAAAAAAAAAAAAAAAAAAAAAATGGATTTTAGTCCTCATACCATCAAGACATTTATAAAAAGAAATAACATGGAAACTTCGATTACCGCTCTGTTGTCATCATGAATGTTTAGAAATGCCTCCACAGCCTGAATATTCCTTACCCAAAATGGGTGGGATTAGAAGCCTTTCACATGTTGGAGGTTTTCAGGTGTTGGAATATTTACCATGGACTTTACTCATTGAGCAACCCTGCTGCCAAAATCTGAAATCTAAAATACTCTAGAATCTGAAAACTTTAACATGTAAATAAAAACAGTTCCAGATTTTGAGGTTTCAGATTAGGACTGCCCAACTTGCAAATGTCAGAAATACGTTGAAATAGAAAACTAAAGGTGGAATACTCTTGCTGTGTTTATAAGTAGAACATTTAAGTTACCTGTAAAACACAAAAATTGTTTTTGGTACACATGGCATGTGCATCCTGTGTATTTCATTGACTTCACATAAAAAGTGAGACTACTTGTTTATTTATTTACTGTGAGGCATGATCTCACTATGCAGTTTAGACTAGCCTTGAACTCAACTTCATAGCCCGGGCTGCCTCTAAATAGCAGTGATCCTCCTGCCTCAGCCTCCTGAGTGCTAGGATTACAAGTGTATATTACCACATCTGACCTCTGATACTCTTTAAACAAGAATTTGTCCTTGGGAAAAATTAGGCAAGTCCACTGGGACTCCTGCAGATTTAAAAGGTAACCACACGATAATTTGTTTGAAATAATTTTTCTAACATTTTATCAAAGTAAAAATATTAAAGACTGTCCATATCCAAAGCACTGCACACAGCAGTCTGAGTATTATGATTAAGGGCACATGTTTATAAGAGTGAAAAGCCTTTCTAACAAAACATGAGTGTTTGACCCAGATTCCCCCTTTTTGCTCTTAGATTCCTTGGGAACAATTCCCACTTTGGTTATATCTTCATCGATTCTCTGTGTAGAGTGAGACACGCTAGTCCCCACCTTGCATGGTGAGGATTTCCTTGGTTTTACGTAAAGTGCTAAAGAAACCCTGCAAGAATTTGAGCTTTGAGGCCTTATGTTCCACATCTTTCACGAAGTTCCTAATACTTGTGTTTTCATAAGGATGCTATGTTTGTATTAAGTTTAGCTTCTTTGTCACTTGTAGCTAGCTAGCAGTCTTCTGGGTTTCTGGTTTGGTGAGTGAATATTTTGCAGTGTTCTTGCAGTGCCTCGGGAGCAGGGCAGAGCAGGCTTTTCAAGGAGATGCCAGGCATGTAGAATTCCGAAATTACCAGTTGGTAAGAAGCACGATTATGAAAAGCTGAGGAATGCTGGCTCAGCTCCAAAGGGTGCCGTGATAGTGCAAAATAGCCCAGCTAACAATTAACTATTTCTTTTTGGAGAAGTTAGTAATTGGGACAAACTGTAAGTGCTGCTGCTGTGCAAATATGATGTTTTAAAAATTATCAGTATTTGAAAGGACACCTGGAAGATGAACTCTGTGTTGAGTCAGAGTTAAGGAGCTATTGAAAAATGTTATTCTATGTATTTATTTCATATCTTTTATCCAAAGGAATTCAACCGTTTAGTATTTCTCATTGTAACTTGGTTTCTTTAAATATTCACATTTTTCTGTTATGTCAAAGATTTCAGGCTTTTGTTAGGGTACAAATTGAATTTCTTTTTTCTTTTTTCTTGAAGTAAAGCAGGTTCATAGCTGTAGCTTATGGTCATGTTAAATAGATAGCAAAGAATACCATCTTTGAGAAGATAAATGTCATGAAATTTCCAAGTAGACATTTAGTCTTTTGCATAGAAGGTCAATAATTGCGTGGATTTCAATCAGCTTAAAAATAATACTCTTGTAACACCGTAATAATATTAAAACATTGAATTACTTTTTCATGCTGTATTTTTTTGGACTATTTATTCATATGGCAGAATAACTTGGTATAACATGTCATTTATATATGTATGTTGTATGGTATTTTCAGAGGAAAACATAGAACCGTGTATATATTTTGGGAAATTACAGGGTATTTTTCTGTCTTTTATCCTATTTTTCCCATTGCTGTTCTGTAGGGTCCCCCGGAGTTTCCACAGCATACACCTGGACCTGTTCCCAACAATTTTAGCCAGCCCCCACGACTTCCTCTCCAGGACCAGTGGAGAGCCCCACCCCCGCCACAGGATCGTGATCCATTCTTCTTGGGAGGTACACAGGGAAGGGATGGCAGATGCAGCATGAGCGCAGAAGCTTTGCTTACTTACAAACCTGGTTACTTGAAAGTTGGTTTAGCTCCCAAGGGCTATGTTAAGGGTCTCAGATTTTGTGCGGTGACCCTTCTGCCTATCATTTCTGATATTCACATTGAATAGTATTGGTATCTAAAATGTGAGGATATTATATACAGGAGGAAATTGCTTATAGAAAATGACCTGCAAAGCAGTATAGAAACAAACAAGTCAAGGATTCTTTCTAAACAGCCATGCCATACCCACATTTGTGGCAGGACAGTTCATAAATCTTTCCTAAGCAGTGTGTGATTTTTCTAAGCAGAAGACATTGCTGTCTTGCTGTTCAGTTTCAGGTGAACCGAGGTTCCCTAGTCATCTGTTTCTGGAACAGCGCAGCCCCCCTCCACCTCCACCACCTCCCACGCTTCTGAACAGCAGCCATCCTGTTCCTGCGCAGAGTCCCTTACCGTTCACTCAGCCGGGACCAGCATTTAATCAGCAAGGACAGCAGCCGGTGTTCCCGAGAGAAAGGCCTGTGCGACCAGCCTTGCAACCCCCAGGACCAGTGGGGATCCTGCACTTCAGCCAGCCAGGGTCTGCCACTACCAGGCCTTTCATTCCTCCAAGACAGCCATTCCTGCCCGGCCCAGGCCAGCCCTTCCTGCCTACACACGCACAGCCCAACCTTCAGGTAAGGGCATGAGCAGCCTCAAAGCAAACCTTCTGTGCGTGGCTGTATTCGTGTTACATGAAAGTGAAGTTCAGGTTGTCATTCTGGTTTGTAGTTAAAGAATACAGGGATCAGTTTAAAATGCACAGTTTTCTGGATGACATTACTTATTTCTTAAATAGTAGAGATGATAAAAGCGATTGTTATTTTGGAGGAGTTGAAAAATGTTTGTATTTGTTCCTGTGCTAGACAATGAGAAGGTCCTTAGTGGAGAGGAACAAAGTTGCCAACTACTCAGCACATGACAGACTCACATGCCCTCTGCTGGTAGACATATGTTTTGTGGGTGGACATAGGTCTCTGTGACATCCTTTTTATCTGGTATATTCCTTCCTGTATTTCAGGTTTACCATATATACATGTATTTATGGTAGTTTACTTAACCTAGAAGCACATAGAATATGGACATAGGCCGGAATTTAGCTCAGTGTCATAATCATCTATCTGGCAAGCACTAGGTTGTGAGTTTGATCCCCGGTAACACCTCCCCCACCACCACATTAAAAAAAAAAAAAAAAAGGAATGTGGACTTAAGAGGCTGGGAATTTAGTTCAGTGGCACAAGTTACCTAGCAAGCATGAGCTTGTGAGTTTGATCCCCAGTACCCACCCCATACATATATATACCTAAATGAAAAGGAAAATGATTAATATTTAGGGTATTGATGATTAAATAAATGTCTTTTAAGATTTTTCTTTTTATAAAAAATCCATCTCCATTGTAGAAACATTAGAATGTTGGTAAGTGTAAGAAAAGGAAATGAAATATTTTCATTATCCAGAAACAGTTACCGTGAACACTTTCATGTGTTTTTGTTTTAGTCTTCTCTTAAAACCAGTGAGTCCTCATCCCTGTGCTTTTTTCCCTGGTTACTGTATCATTGTGACCTTCTCACATCAGCTGATTGTCTTTTCCTACTTAATCTAAGCATACTGTGCAAGGTTGCTGCTTTGTGTGCGCTGCTTTTGGTGTAGGGTTGTAGGGATCGTACTTGAAGTTCTGTGTTGGTTCACCGGCAGAATTTCTTCCTCAAGATAAATTGTTGGAATTCTGGGTAGGAAGGGCTTTGGGCAGACATGATGCAAGGGGCCAGCTGCTGGCATATTTCTGTACTTGAGATGATAGTATTACCTTCATTAGCAAATTTAAAGTGAAGCCTCATACCACCTATTGTTTTTTTTGGGGATAGAGATTTTTAAAGCAACAGTTGATTTGGAATGTGCCTAGTAATGTGCCTATAAACTGTTGTTTCTCTTCCCTGGATGGCAGGGGCCCCTGCACCCTCCTCTGCCCCCTCCTCATCAGCCGCAGCCCCAGCCGCAGCAGCAGCCGCAGCCCCATCAGCATCAGCCGCAGCACCATCAGCATCAGCCCCCGCACCAGTCCCCACTCCAGCCCCCACACCAGCCCCCTCCCCCGCATCAGCCCCCTCCCCAGCACCAGCCCCCTCCCCAGCACCAGCACCACCACCACCTCTCCGCGCCACCCCCTCCTCTGATGCCTCTGTCTCAGCCACAGTTCCGGCCGCATGTGCAGACAGCACAGCCGCAACCCAACAGCAGTCGGGTGCAGTGCCCCCCACGCCAGGGCCTGCGACATGTGAGTATCAGGCTGTCTTCCCTTGTTTTAACTTGACACTAGAATTCAAGGGACATAGTTGGTTAGATTGTCTTTCAGTTCTGATTTTTTTTTTTTTTATTTAAGGAGAAAAAGGAAAAAAACAGAAAAAGGGTACAAGTAATACAAAAATTAAAAAAAAAAACAGAAATCACTAGTTAATATATTACATATTCTCATCTTAGAAATAGTTGTTCAAGTTACATTATTGAAGCATATAAAGTGGACTTTCAGAGTGCAAACAGTTTTGTTCAATGATCCAAAAAACACTCAGTAATATGGTTATCTATCTTATACACATAAACATATATGCAGTTATAACCTTTAGAGCACTTTCTTTTCTTTTCTTTTGTACAATGATAATTACCAGTTCTGATTTTGATTGAATAGATACATATTTTTCTGAAGTTGTCTTATGTTAAAAAAAAAACTTAGAAAATTGCTTTGACTACAGAAAGTAATGACTTATCTCATTTGTGCTGAAGATTGTATGCACATTTACTTCGTCTGATTTTCATGTGATGTGATGCTTCAGTAGTGATCAATATTAATAGTCATGTAACTTTAGAAAGTAGTTTTAGGTGATAGTCGTGCTGCCTTTGTCAGTGGCTTAATTTTTGATGCATAAATTATCTCTTTCTTTGACTTCAAAATAAAAAATAAATGTATTTAGGAGAAATACATTTCATGTTGCCAGCTAATCCTCAAATTTTAGCAATGAACAGGTAAGACTGATCCCTGCCTTTAGAGAAGTTATGTTTGGTTGTGGGAAATTGACACACATTTATGTGGTCAAGGATCATGACTTTAATGCTTGATTCCTCTTCTTTTCTGCCCTAAATTTAAGTGTGCTGTTAATCCCATTGAGTTCTTAAGGCAGATACAGTACTTTGTGATTCTTGAGAGTTCTGTTAAAAATGTTAGTCCTTATCCTCAAGCTCCAACCAGAAACTGTGGTAAGATTTCTATAACCAGATAATGTGTAGGCAAACAGGGTAGCTTTACCTTGAGACTTCAGAATTAGGCCGTGAAGTTGTGTTTTATGTACGGAAGTATCAGCTGCCCAGAAGAAAAGTCAGTAATGAGAATGATTTTTTAAAAAAAATTTCATGATGTGCGTTTTTATGTTCCTTCTGCCAGCTTCCCAAATGTAATTAAATTGTCTTCCTTCTTATGATAGAATGTAGCATCTCAGAACGTAACCAAGCGGCCCATGCAGCAGATGCAGCCCACAGCCCCCAGGAATAGCAATTTGCGTGAATTACCCATAGCACCATCGCACGTTATAGAAATGAGCAGCAATCGCTGCTCCTCCACACCTTCAGCTCAAGTGAAGCCTGTCGTCAGCACATCCCCGCCTGCAAGAGCTATGGTGGCTTCTAGGAACTCACAGGGAAAGACTGATGTGAAAGTCAAGCCAGTCAGCCCTGCATCTCAGCCTAAGGAGGACTCAAAAACAGAACCAGAGGTAGGGCATTTTCTTTGTTAAAAATATTTTATCTCAAATAGGAAACCTTTCAAGTCAGGTATTAATTCACTTATCCAAAGACTTGCTCACAAAATCTGCCCAGTTTTTCTTTTTTCCTGTTGACTCTTTTAGCTGAATAGCCTTGTATTCTCACAGGTTTGCCATGTTAAATTTTATATATAGGATCAATATAAACATATTAGGCTTGAGCAGATTTTTTTTTTTTTTTTTTTTTTGTCTTTTTCCTTTTTATCGGTACTGGGGACCGAACTCAGGACTGCCTGCTTGCAAGGCAGGCGCTTATGCCGCTGAGCTAAATCCCCAGCCTCGAGCAGATTTTTTTTAAAGGACCCAAATATTCTTTAAATAATTCAGGCATGCAGTTGAAGTTGTCCTAATTCCTGAACTCTGTATGTTAGTGCAAAGGCAATTTATTAGCAGTTCACACAGAAATGGACACACCTGTATCTCAGGGGTACTTTCCAGAACCGGGAGGGGTCCAGATTTGGCACGTGGACTGTGGTCTGCTGATCCCCAGTATGCACTGCTAGATTTCTGTGATGCTTTTTTCAGTTTACACTGTGGACTCGTGGAAGAGAGAACCACTTTTACTCTTGGTCTTGAAGATTGTAGAGGGCTTGGTTTATTTTCAGTGTAATTAATAGTAATTAATTTTAAAAGAGGTGCAGAGATTTTAAAAGAGATGCAGAATGTTGCAAGTATTAATAATATATGCAGGTCAATATTTGACACGATTTGCATTTGAGTTCTCATTTCTCATAGGCTTTAACTTCCTTATCTATTAATTGGGGATAAAACAAGGCAGGGTATATGCCTGGGACTTGGTCAGAGATAGTCTGTGGAAATTTTATCCATACTAGTAGATTTAAGTAGAATATAAGGAAGTAGCATAACAGATTAATATTTAATATAATAATGACGGCATGAAGCTTTTCCCTAGATGTGGATTTAGGCAAGTCATGCTTTCTTAATTTTATAAAAACCAGTTAATACTGGTTTTATCTTTTAATTAGTTGTTAAAATCAGATTTTCTTCTCAACAGTTACTGTAGTGACTGTAATGTAATGCTGCTAAATCAAAAATTGTAAATACGTAAAATCAAAATTTTATGTTACCATTTAATAAGATCGTGTTAGAAGAGTGACTTCTGGTTTATAATCAGAATACGAAAAAAAAATGTAGATTTTAAAACTGAATTACAATGGTTTATAATTTTCTTTGCTAAAAATTTCATAGTGCCTTTAGTTTTTATAATAAAGGATGAATCAGTTTTCATGAAAATTTTTTTAAGTATTCCTGCCTACATTCCTGAACATACTTTAACTTTCTCGATTGTTTGGGGAGATGCTAATGAATGGTAGTGACTCCTGTGTGTTGGGATGGTGATATGGGGTCCAGTTAGTTAGTGTGTCCCAGGGCCTCGGAGGGCTGACTCATGCCTCTGCTGTAGACTGTTTATTTGGCTTCGCCTTAGTGTCCTTCTTGGTCTGTATGCACACCTGGGTAGCATCCCTTTAGCCACCTTCAGATTCTCTGTTTTCAGTGTATTCAATTGAAAATTAGGAAACTGGGCTGGTCTGAATTGCCTCTGGGTGGAAGCCCCTGGGTGCCAGCTGACCCCTTGGTGGTAGTCTGATGTCACCTTTGTAGCGCTTAGGGCTTGCTGAGGGTAGGCAAGACTATTAAATAGGCACATTCTAAGAAAATGAAATCTGTGGCATTTTCTGCAATGGATTTGTGGCTATGAGTGACTTCTAAAGAAAATTATTTCTTAAATGCTTAACTTTTTATAAGCTTTCCTTGTCAGGTGTATTTTATCAAATTACTGGACTTTTTCAGAAAATTTTTTGATACACTGTCAGAATAGTTTGGAGCTGGAATATTCAAAGCATTTCTTATATACCATTAATATTCCAATACTGCAATTGGCAACATTTTGATTCTGAGGAGGGTATACGAGTTCAAGGTCAGAGAGATTGACTCGTGCTGTTCATTATAACCAATTATTCTGTGACAAATGAGTTTGAGATCAGGCTGAAAATTCTGTACGAAAAATCAATAGTTCTAATCAGGGCCTTTCAGGTCATTTACACCCCACCTTTTGTTGGTTTGTCAGGGAAGAGCCAGATAAAACCCATGTGACAGCGGGCCACGCTGCTGTGCCATTCCTATTGGAAACATATTTTGATATCTTAAATGAATGGTTTAATTGGTTTTAAACTTGTAAATGAGTAGAAATTTATATTATTTCATTTTTAATATTCTGATAAGATTTTCCAAATTATTTTTAACTGTGTAATTTTTTTGGCCTTCCCCAGAGGAAGGAGTTACACTCAGTGTTTAAGCAGCAATTGAACGTTTTCTTTCAAATAGCAGATTGAAAGGTTTTTGGGAAATGCCTTTCCCAGATTGTTAAAGTAGAATGGTCACCTTGTCTTTGCACAGCAAAGTAAGTCACATGTATTTTTCATTATAGTTTCCTGATGAAGATGAAGAAACAAGATTATATCGCTTAAAGATAGAAGAGCAGAAACGCCTAAGGGAAGAGATCCTGAAGCAGAAGGAGCTTCGGAGACAGCAGCAGGCTGGTGCTCGGAAGAAAGAGTTGTTGGAAAGACTTGCACAGCAGCAGCAGCAACAGCAGCAGCAGCAGCAGCAGCACCTCTATGCCCCGCATGCCCCAGGGGAGCAGGAAGAGCAGGTGGCTGCCCCTTCCCCTACCAACGGGAACCCCCTACTACCTTTCCCAGGTGCACAGGGCAGGCAGAATGTGAAGACAAGACTTCTTGTAAAAAACCAAGATGTCACTCTTCCAAACGTTCAGCCCAAAACATCGAACTTTGTACCATCTGGTGCTAATGTGCAGTATCCAGGACAGCAGACAAAACCACTGAAACATTTGAGACAGGCCAGAACAGTACCTCAGAGTCAGACACCGCACCAGTTACTGCAGATCAAACCTGCAGATGTGGAGGAGCCCCCACCCACCCCACAAGCAGCCCGAGTGCCATCCCTGCAGGGCAGGCCCCAGGACATAAAACCTGGTGTGAAGAGGACAGTCATGCATCGGGCCAACAGTGGAGGCGGTGGCGATGGGCCTCATGTGGGCTCCAAGCTCAGAGTGATTAAATTGTCAACAGGGGTAAGTGGACAGGTTTTATGTCTGCTTCTTGAATCTTTCTCTCTGAAGGTCTTGATTTGCACATGAAGATTAAAAGTTTCCTGTTAGGCGTTTCTACTCTTTTGGCTTGCCTAGGCCACATTAGGTGAAGACGAATTGTCTTGGGTTGTAATAAAATATATAGTACAATTAACAAATGTGACTAGCAAAGCTCTTTAAAAGAACGATATTGTTAGAGTGTTTTAAAAAAGACGGTAAGTGACCTGTGGGCCCTGGTTGGCCACACCTCAGTGTCAGTGTGAGAACCGTCACGCATGAGCACTGTCCCACCCCGTGCTGTGTCCGTTGTCTGTTGGAAGACCAGTATGGCATTCCACAGATGCACATTGCTCAGCTTATCAGCTTTATGTCAATAATTAGCAGTAACATATTATGATAAATTTGTGGTAACAAACTTAACCAGAATCATTAAGTTTGTTGTAAAAATAAAGTTTTCTGTAGACAAAGGAAGTAATTTGTTGTGTATGGGGTTAGATTCACTAAGTGCCTGTGGGCAGTATGTACATGTGTCCACATCTGAGCAGCACTGTCTAGACACCTTTCTATTTGCCATATAATGTTGCTCATTTTTCTGAAAGGAGTAATGGGAACAGATGAGGAAAACTGAACACAGGCTTTTAGAGTAAATCAGATAATGACAGTTACTGTAAAAAAAAAAAACACAAAATGTGCGTTAGAAAGGGAAATCGCTGGACATGATGGTGCATGCCTGTAACCCCAGCACTTGGGAGGCTGAGGCAGACAGATCCTCACAAGTTCCATATGTATTCAGTAAACATTTACACTTTCATTTCATCTGAATCTGTTTTTTCTCACACCAGTGCACTGTGACCCCAAATGTTGATAAACAGGTGAAAGTTCTGTCACATCACTTTCATATTACAAGAATGTATTCCTCTGTGCCAACCCAGTGCCCGTTGGTCACTGTGAGTGCTGTGGCCACCTCTGTGGCCTCCTTTTCAAGTGTACCGTGTTCATCAGTGTCTGGTTTTAATTTAGATTGTGAGTGTCAGAGGAGGATGGGCTGGCACTGGAAACAGGCCTCACCGTATCACACTTCACGCGAACTTGCCACAGCACAGGCACAGAGAGTTCTGTGGGTCCCACCTGCCTCAGATGGGTGGCCGGTGGAGAATAGCTCATAGATGGAGAAACATTCTTCTTTCAAAAAGTTTTCTTTTCTCTTTTTAAACTTTTGCTGTCCTTTTTGTATTTTAACCCACATATATTTGTATTTCTAGACTAAATAACAGACCTCATCACAAAATGATGCTTCCAAGTTTTGCAATAAACAGGAAAAACAAAAGCTATTTTCCAAAGCAGTACTTTGGAATCTGCCTTTTAGTTCTGAAATACTAAGTTAGCAACACACCTCTTTTCAGGGGAGGCCCTAACAGGTGACTGTCCAGGAGCATGGGAGCAACTTCTGACTCATCAGAGGACGTGTCTTTTACTTGTGTCTATCTGAGCTGATGAATGGGATAATGGCCTTGTTGCTTTTTATCTTTTGGTGGGTGGATACTATTTTTTAAGACAGTATATTTCTAATTGTGGCTAGGTGCAAGTTGTTTGAGCAATGCAAAAAGAAACAGTTGGGTCATTTGCCATGCACACTCATATTTATTTAACCTTGATCTCTGCCCTTGAGTGCTCCTGTAGCTTCAGGATCTGGGTGGTGCTGTGCCTCTGTCAGCATTGGTACTGATGTACTGCTCCACCTGTGAGAGTCTTAGTGTTATGAGCTCAAGGCTGGGTCACACTCTGCGGCTAGGAGCTGACTGAAGTTTACATATGGGGAAGATTGATTTGTACGTGGTACCCAGATAGCCTGTTAGGTACATATTTTAGTTGTATAGTTAGCTAATAAAAGCCTTTTATTGACAGTTTATATTCCCTGTGTTGACTCTTTCGTATTCTATCAGTAAAAAGATTTATAATGTGTGTCTTATTTATAAGGTTTTTTAGAGGGTTACCCTAGAGTCAGATTAGGTTAAAAAAAAGAAAAGCCAGGTATAGTGCTTGCCTGTCACAGACCAGTGTTTGGGAGGCTGAGGTGGAGGGATTGCCAAGGTCAAGGCCAGCATGGGCTGTTTGGTTCAAAGCCAGTCTAAACTATGTAGCAGGATCCTGTCTCAAAAAAAGTAAATAAAACTATTTCCTTTACTTCTTTCTAATCTAAATTTAAATAGATAACTCTAATGTTGCACAGTTTTTATTTGCATTCATCATCTTCTTCTAGTAGTCATTATTTGGCCAGGATATAAAACTCTTTGAGGAGTACCACTCAATAACTGACCCACAGGTAAAACACTGCTCACAGGATTGTCGTGTGTTTGTAGAAGCAGAAAGTCCTTGGCATTCTTTTTTGTTTGTTTTTATTTAAAGAGAAAAAAAGCAAAACAGAAAAATGCATGGAAATAATACAGAATTTCAAAAAATAAGCACTGAGAAATCACTAGTTAATAAATTACATATTGTCATCAGGAATAATTATTCAAGTTATAAAATTAAAGCATAAAAAGTGGACATTCAAACAGTGAGAGTGCAAACAGTTCTATTCAATGATCCAATAAAAATTTAGTAATATGGTTATCTGTCTTGCACACTTAAACATATATGCAGTTATATCAGAGCATTTATCAGTTATTCAGAGCATTTTCCCTTTTTTACAGTAGCAATTAGACATTTTGGATCTTACTACTCCTACAGTTTTTATTACTTTTTACACAAGAGACACAATGTGATATTTCCAAATATGATTCTTATTTACTTTACTTACGAGGATAGTCTCAAGTAGCTTCCATTTACCTGTAAAAGCCTCAAGATCATCCTTTTTCATAACTGAGTAATATTCCGTTGCATAAAAAATACCACATCTTTTTCATCCATCATTTTGAAAAGTAATTTAATGAGAATGATTGCTTGGCATTATACAGTTCTGTGGACTGTGTAGTTATATTGTTTGGAGCTTGGAGAGTCTGTTTTTTTTCAAGGACTTCTTGGCATCAGACTTGGGGTAGGTTATTCTGCAATTTCCTGCTGTAGTGTGCAGAGCTTGAAGTGCTCCTCTCTAGGACCTGAGCTGACCCATGGGATTGGGGGAAACAACTGGGCTTTGGGTGCAGAGGACCCATGTTTGGATGGTCTCTGCCTTTGAGACTTTGAATAATGGTTTTATTTCTCTGGACCTCAATTTCTGGCCTGTTAATGGGGTTAGTAAGATTGCTGGGAGGAGCCATAAATGAAAGTTTTTGGTGGATAGAAATCACTTGATAAATGTATTTGCTTTGTAGAATGCTCTGGGCCCCAGGTAAGAAACCTGTGATCTCATGCTGGTAGTAGCAGTGGCTGCCTTTGGTCCACTGCTCAGCACGCACTCGCAGCATCCTAGGAGACAAGTTTCAGAGAGCCATGTTGCTAGCCCAGGGCCATACAGCTAAGTGACAGGGCGAGGCACACACCTCTGGTTAGGTTCTGTGTCCCAAGCCCTTTGCCCATCTTTAGAAGAGTTAGCCATTGCAGCTGCAGCTTTTCTGTTGTTAGCTGTTTCTCCACGTAAGGATTGTGTTCTGCTGTTTCCAGTAAATAGATAACAGTGGTGGACTCAGAAGATTGCTAATGGGGGCTTCTGAAGCAGGAGTGGTGAGTAGGCATTGTTTTCTTGCTAACCCTTGTTGTTTGGTAGTGACTGACTGGAGCAGGGCGCAGAGGAGGGCATGTGTGATGGTGAGCAGCCCTGCTGTGGCCATAGGGCTGGTGGGAAACTGCTTCTTCACCCTTGGCCCCTGCCAAGCAGAGAGGCTGAAGATGCATGTGACAGAGGGCAGTGCTATTTTTGCCACATGCTGGAAACGTATCTCTGACAGATTCTTGTGTGCCAAAGGAGGTCAGACTTTCTGTTTAAAGCTTTGAGGGGAAACATTGGAGGACTTGGAAATTGAAAGACTTTTCCTATGAAGCTAATCAGTTGTTCTTTTTTCTTCCTATTGCCTGGATTTGATAGTTGAGATTATTGAAATTGAAATTAGTGTTGCTTATAGTATTGGATGTCAGCAAATATTCTAAAATTTCACATGACTTCTTGAATATTACTTGTAAAATCCTATTTAAATAGTAGTATTAATGAACTAATTCTCCTATAGCAGGTCTCAAAAAACTGTTTTTAAGTGCTTAATTTTAGGAAACCAAGAAAACCTTGTTAAATCATAATTTTGGTGATAATCAATACTTAATCCAAAAAATAAAACTATTCCATTATTAACAGAACAAATATAAAAGATGTAAAATATTTTCTTAGTATAAACTTAACTATAGTCATCTTTGGCCATTCTTGGTGATGATAAAACATAGAAAAAGCAGTTTGAGTAAGCATGTGCATGAGGAAAGTCCTTAATAGCAGTTGTAGACCTTGAGCTTCTCTGGTTTCCCTACCCTTTGTAGTTTTTGTGTCTCGGTTTTTCTGTTTGTGTCTTTGTCACCTTGATTATTGCCCCAGCTAACTCCCCCGTAAAATGAGGCTCAGTGCGCTTTGTTGGACTGTTGAAGAGTGTGAGGGCTACACTCTATGTGGAGTGAGTGGCGTGGTGCTGCAGTACATGGTAGTAGCTCAGTAACTATCATGGTGCTCTTTGCCTTTATTTTCAAGGAAGAAACAAAGGCTTGCTTATTCATAGCGCCTGTTATATAGTGTTCTTTATGCTTTACTCTGATCAAGGTAATGAAAATTTTAGGAATTTGGCTGCAAATTCAGTAAATAGTCCTTTGTTCTGTGGGCCACACAGAGAAAGGGGAGACAGGAAGAACACCCCACCAGGAAAGCCAGCTGTCCAGTTGTGATTCTCTTGTATTTTATTTTTAAAAAGCTGTCAAAATGCTGCATGCCAAAGGCCCCAGTCTATGTGTGAGCTTGCTGTGGAGAGCCTAGACTAGATCTGTGGTGTTCTTCCCCTCCTGCCCTCTCA